TCCTAATCTTCTCACCTTACATATATTAATAGCCTTAAAAATAACTGTACAACAGTATTTATAATATCTTCAAGTGTAGCATGTAACTGTAGTATTTCTGATGCAGACATTTGTAGGGATTTTCTTTAAGCAAATAGTTTTCCACTTGTATGTGTTTTTGTAGATGTTCAATTTATTGATTTTATAGTGTGTATTACTTATAAATTTCCTCTGGCAAAAATTAACAAAACATGGCCACAGTTCAAACGTCTTAAGTTAGGTTTTGCGTTTGATTCCAATTGGAAATCCAAAGTTTCCAAAGTGGAAAATGAGATACATTAGAAATCAGAAGTTTACATGCACTGTATTTAAAAAAATAAATAAATAAAATTGAGCTTTTTTTTTCACTGTCTGTCATTAAATCAGACCAAAATTTTCCTGTTTCAGGTCAGTTAGGATTAACAAAATTATTCATGTTTGCTAAATGCCAAAATAATAAAAGAGAGATTTTTTTTTTTTTTTTGAAAAGCAGAGATGATGATGTCACAGCTTTGGAAGCTCTTGATAGGTTAACTGACAGCATTTGAGTTCATTAGAAACACACCTGTGGATGTATTTTAAGGCACACCTCAAACACACACTGCTTCCTTTTGTGACAACATGGAAAATCTTAAGAAATATCCAAGATATCAGGAAGAGAATTGTGGACCTCCACAAGTCTGGTTCATGCTTCCACATGCCTGAAGGTTCCACGTCCATCTGTTCAAACAATTATACGCAAGTATAAACACCATGGGAATGTCCAGCCACCATGCCACTCAGGAAGGAGACAGATTCTGTGTCCCAGAGATGAAATGTTTTGGTGCAAAATGTGCATATCAACACCAGAACGAAAGCAAAAGACCTTGTGAAGATGTTGCTGAAGCTGACAAGAGAGTGTCATTATCCACAATGAAACCAATCCTGTACCGACATGAGCTGAGAGGAAGAAGACATTACTCCAAAAGAAACATGAAAAAGCAGATTACAGTTTGCCAATGCACACAGGGACAATGACCTTAATTTCTGGAGACAGGTCCTGTGGTCTGATGACACTATAATTGAACGGTTTGGCCTTAATGACCATCGTCACATTTGGAGCAAAAAGGAGGAAGCTTGCAAGCCTGAGAACACCATCCCAACTGTGGTAGCATCATGTTGTGGGGGTGTTTTGCTGCAGAAGGGACTGATGCACTTCACAAAATAGATAGCATCATGAGGAAAGAATATTATGTGGAAATATTGAAGCAACATCTTAAGACATCAGCCAGGAAGTTAAAGCTTGGGCACAAATGGGTCTTCAAGGGGACAATGACCCGAAGCATTCCGCCAGATTAATTACAAAGTGGTTTAAGGACAACAAAGTCAATCTTTTAGAGTGGCCATCACAAGATTCTGATCTCAATCCTGTCGAAAATGTGTGGGCAGAGCTGAAAAGGTGTGTGCAAGCAAGGCGGCTTACACACTTGACTCAGTTCCACCATTTCTGTCAAGAGGAATGGGCCAGAATTCATCAAATTATTGTGAGAAGTTTGTGGAAGGAAACCCAAAACATTTGACCAAAGCCATGCAGTTAAAGGCAATGCTACCAAATACTAAGGAAATGTATATAAACTTTTGACTTTCAAGAAAGTAAAAAAAAAAATATCTCTCTCATTATTCTGGCATTTAGCAAATGAAATAAGTTTGGTAATCCTAGCTGACCTACAACAGGAATAGTTTAGTCTGATTTAAAATCAGACAGTGAGAAAGAAAAGGTTTTATGTCTTTTTATACAGCGTATGTAAACTTGTGGTTTCAACTTGTATCTCCAAGTTTCCATCATTGTTATACAGTCTACACTGTTTTCACTATTCATGCCACAATTTATCCCTGTATAGTATTCTGTCATATAGTGGTCTACTGTGACCAAAGTGCTTCCTCAAAAAGACTTGCTGGGTTTGTTAATTTTCTCTCTGTAATGTAATATTGTGAAGTCTTGACCTTACTGTGCCAAATGCCGTGAGATGACTTCTGTTGTAAACTAACTCTACATAAATAATACTAACCTGAACAGCATTGAAGAAAATAAAAATGATTTGAGGTGGTGAGATTAGTGACAATGAAACACCGATATGACTCCTGGTGGCATGTTGCATATTATATTTTATTAGCTGGAAGAACAGTGTTTTGCCAACCTGAAGGGCTGAAACCACAACTGTAGTTGGTTGATTGGAATTTTCACAAAAAGGTTCATAAAAGGTGCAATAACTCATCTGATCAGTTTAGCATGGTGTCATGTTGTCTTATGGTTGTTTCTATGTTTCAGGCATCCCAGTGGAGTCCAAGGTGAACATCTTCATTAACAGCTTTGGATCCATTCAGGAAACAACCATGGTGATACATACACACACTACAAACACACAATATTAGTTTTGAATTTTCTTTTTTTTTTCAAATTCTGTGTACAGTAGAAGGCATAGGAAATGACGTGTTTACTTAATTTGGTCAACCCAACCCTCTTGCACTGGTACAAATACAACATGGTTATCTTAATTAACAGTAGCAGACATAAACATAGCAGTAGTAGGAGAAAATTAAACAAATAAGACAATGGAAATAAGAAGTATATGCATAAATATGCAAACGTGAAGCTAGGATATACAGCTCTCTTACTGTAATATATTATAGAATCCTGCTTATTTCCACAAAAACAGTTTATTGCAGATCCCTCTTATTTAACTCTAGCAATTTTTATTGTAAAATGTAATTTGTTACAATTCTACTCATTCCATAATGCATGCTCATGGCCTTTTCTGTTTACTTTCAACTGAAGCTTCTAATTCGCTTCTGGATGACAGCGTGATGGCATATGCCCTGCAAACTTTAAATAAAGTCAGTTCGCATGTCACACCTTCCTACCACTTACTCAAAACAGACAGGCAGAGTGTCTCAAATATGAGATCTGTACATGCTCCTTATGCTGCAGGGCCAAGAGGCAAGTGAACATAAGTGCTGTTAAACCAGTCGAAAAGTTGAAAGTGTTAAAAAAGTGTGGACCATTTAATAAGTCTGGGCCCCTGACCCTTTGTTTTAGGATAGACTTGTTTTCAAGGTTGATTGTGCAAATTCAGTCAAATATACTTTGTCAAATTTAACAAAAACACCTCTTGATCCAATAGCTCACCATCCTGTGCATGTGCTGAAAAAGCATCTGGTGTAAAACATCGGTCTGTAGACGGGAAACAAGCAAAGTGACGCGAACCTTTCCACACAACACTATTACAGCATGTGTCTGTGCATATTTATGCTTGTGAATATTTATCCTCATGCACAAGACAAAAAAACCCACTAACTTTTCATAAATTTAGTGTATATCCATTATTGACTTCTGTGGTCTGAAAATGGAAGCATTGTCTTGAGTGTTTTGTTTTATTTTGGTAGCATCCTGGCTGATTATTTTCATGTTCATATTAAATTACATTTTTGTAAGTTACTGTCTTTAAAATTATGTTCATAAACAGCTTACACTAACAAATTAGCCTACCAGACTAACATGGCTTTTACAGCAAGATAAAGTTACTTAGCTAACATGAATTAACACCATTAACAGCCCACTAAATCAATTCCAAAGACGATACCTGAGCGTTTCTGTAATAGTTTGCAATTCTGGCAGTAATGCACAGATCAAATGTAAACAGTTTAAGAATATTTTGGCTGTGTGCTGCTGCTTAGGTCTGAAACAGTTTGAGCCAATCACATAATTGGTTCTGCTCTGCTTGTCTGTTATTGTGATGAAAGTGGCTTTGTGAAATAAAATGACCACTGGGAACAACAGTGTTGTAAAATAATAGAAGACTTTGAAGAAACTGCCTTGTGAAATTGAACAACTGCAAATGATATTGTGGGTCTGTAAACTGTTTCTGCTGGGAAATAAGCAGGATAAAATAATATTATATAATGAACAGGACTGTGAAAAAAACAACAAAAAAACTGTATCATCTTGCAATAATACAGTTATTATTTATAATGTTGTGTCTGACTTAATAGCATTCCATATAGCAGTAGAATTAGCACAAGCAGTAAAAGCTGTGGTGACAACTATTAACCATTTGTCTCTGTACAGGACTACAGAGTGAATATATTTCTTCGTCAGCGATGGAATGACCCTCGTCTACGACTTCCCACTGACTTTAAGAGTGACGCACTAACTGTTGATCCCAACATGTTCCAGTGTTTGTGGAAACCAGATCTTTTCTTTGCCAATGAAAAAAACGCAAACTTTCATGATGTTACACAGGACAACATTCTGCTCTTCATCTTCAGGAACGGAGATGTCTTGATCAGCATGAGGTATGCACCCATGTTTTCCATGCTTTTCATTTATTCTGAAGGAAATGACAATCAATATGCTCACCTCTTTGGTTCAGACCAAAAAACTCTACAACTGTTGGACTGACATGGTTGGAGCACATCTTGAGTAGACACACATCGTACATGCATCACCTAAATGTGGACCTATATGATCTGAATTTCTATGAAAACAAGTTTTCTCAGAGAGTGCAACAAATCTGCAATGGTGTTGAGAAGGGGAGTTTAAATAACGACCATTTAGAGTCCATGGTGTT